CCCACAGAGGGGACAAAGCCAATTTCCACCAGTTTCCAGCTGCTCCCTCTGGGAATCCCGTCCCCCCTCTCCCACCAGCATACTCCATCCTGGGAAGCAAGGGGCAGCGTTTTTGGGATGTGATTCCTGACAGGGCCGTGGCCTCGCCGGGCGTTGTCCTAGCACTATCCCGCTCCGTGGTACTTACCAGGATCTCCCCCTTTAGGTGTGCAAAATTAAGGGGGAAAAAGACAAAAAAGCAGGATGAAGAGACAGGAGAAGGAAGGGGACAAAGTGACGGGAAGAGGGAGAGAGCAGGAAGCACAAAAATGGAGGAAAGAGCAGAAAAACAGCAGAAGAAAACCCGTTACATGCTATTAATGATCATTCCCAGCGTTAATCCCTCGGAGCAGCCTTCCGGAGGGAGTGAGGGCCTGGCACCAGGGGAGGGGCACAGCCCTCCGGGACCCCCAACACCCCTCGAGAGCAGGAGGAATGGGGGGACACGGCTGTGTCCTGGTGGTCCCCATGCCCTGTAAGCCAGGACTGGGGGGCACACAGCTCCCAGGACATCCCGGTGTCCTCCCCATCCCGTTCCCTATCCCTGGCCCCCATGAGTCAGGACTGGGGAAGGACACAGCTCCCAGGACATTCCGGTGGCCTCCCCATCCCTATCCTTATCCCTATCCCTGGCCCCGATGTGTCAGGACTGGGGAGGGACACAGCTCCCAGGACATTCCGGTGGCATCCCCATCCCTGGCCCTATCCCTGGACCCCATGAGCCAGGACTGGGGGGGACACAGCTCCCAGGACATCCCGGTGTCCTTGTGGCCCCTGTCCCCTTGCTCCCACCCCCAGGGCTGGGATGGGTCCCCCAGTAGCACCTCCCCCCCAGTCTGTCCCAAATCCCGCTGGTTTCAGCTGGGAATGCAGCTCCCACCCTGTCCCAGAGCTTGGTTTTCCTGTCTCCAAACCCAGCCTTAAATATAAGCTTATGGATCGACTTGGATCCTGCTTCCTGAGCTCCGAAGGGGATATCCTGGAGAGCCAGCCCTGCCAGGAGCAGGAGGAGCAGGAAGGTCGGAAACTGCTGCTGTACCTGGTTTGGGATCACTCTCTTCTTGTTGGTCTGTGTGTTCCTCTGCTGCGCACTGGAAAATGGGGGAAAAGGGGATGTTCAGGCAGAGAAGGGAAAGCCAAGCGATGGCCACCACACACTTCCCGCCCAGAACGCCGTAAGGAAGAGCCGATCCAAAGGGGAAGCCCATCAGATGGAACTCCAGAGCCCCTTCCCGAGGTTTGCCCAGGACCGAGTGCAGAGGGGGGACGGGACTCCCAACCCGGACACCGGGATCTCCTTCCTCATGGACCATATTCCCAGGATGCAAATCCGCAGGGAGAAGGTGGTAACTTGCAGGAGAGGAAACACCAAGCAGATCAGCAGCAGCTGCTGATTCCCAAGGGAATTCTGGTGGTGACCCCAGCCGAGCCGCTGCACCCCGAGCACCGAGAGGCCTAATTCCCCCCGGATCGGGAGCATTACCTGCACCAGAGGGAAAGCTACCTGTCTCTCCTGAGCACCGAGGGGACGGGGTGGAGCGGGGCGGAACCGTTAGTCAGGAGCGGGAACAAAATCCGGGAGAACAGTTAGAATCCCACCGGGACACCCCGGAGCAGCAGTTCACAAGCACTAACAGGGGGGCCTGTCCCAGGGAAAGGGGGCCCATCCCTGGGAAAGGAGCAATGGGATGGCATCCCTGACCAGTCGGGATTTGGGAAACACTTCTCTGCCTGCCCTGATCCTGACAGTTCCTCCCTAATCACTAGGCTCAGATGCTCCAGGTGCCTGGCCCGAGCCAGAGCAGGATGCACTCTGGTGGCTGAGGAGAAGTTCCAGGCTCCCAGATCCAAAGCTGAACTAGGAGGAAAAACTCCCTGGCTTCCAGCTCCAGACGAAAAGCTCCCCAGGCTCCCAATTCCAAAGCTGAACTGGGAGGAGAAGCTCCCTGGCTCCCAGTTCCAAAGCTGACTGGGAGGAGAAGCTCCCCAGCTCCCAAATCCAAGGGCAAGCTCCCAGCTCCCAGCTCCAGAGGGAAGCTCCCGGGCTGCTGCTGCCAGTACCCACCCGGTCGCTACGTGCTGCTCAGTGAAACAGCTGTGGTGGGAGGGGATCCGGAGAGACAGAGAGAGGTCATGGATCCAATGAAAAACAGCAGAGAGCAGAAGAGGAAGGAATGTGACCGGAGGTGGAAAGCAGAGACAGACAAAAAAAAGGGGGAAAAGAGAAAACAGGAGGAAGAATGTGGGAATTTCAGGAGCAGGAGGAGGTGTGGGCTCCGAGCACCTGTGTGCCAGAGTTCTGGGAGCTTCTACAAGGTTCCTGGCTGGTTTGGGGTAGGAGAAAGCCAGCCTTCCTCTAGGAGCAGCCAAGGGAAGGCAGCAGGGAGAGGATGAGGAGGGACAGAGGACAGGGAGCAATTCCTGCTCCGTTACAGCTCCAGGGGATGGGATGAGGGTCATTCCAACAGCCTGAACCACCAGAACTCATCCAAGTGGCCCCAGGTTCCTGTGCCCAAGGCAGGACATCCCCATTCCGGCTCTTCCCAGTGCTCGGGCTGGGCGGTGGCACACGGAGAAGCAGAGCTCCTGTATCCCAGATCTGAGAGAACTGGGTGCCAAAGGTGCTGGTGTGGATGGCACACGGGACACTCACAGCTTTCCCACCGGTGATCCCAAAGGATAACACGACCCCCACAGGCTGGGGATGGGACCATGAGCCTCATTTATGGAGAATTTGGGACTTATCTCCCTGGAAAAGGACTTACTTGGCAAATCCGATGAAGTCTTCGTGGTTGGTGTTGATGTAGGAGAGTTCGATGTCAATCAGCAGCAGGATCTGAAGGAATCCCAGGTTAGGGAGGGTTAGGAATCCCCTGGGAGCCATGCCAGAGCCCCAGGGATGCACGAGGGGGACGGGGGTGACTGGGAGATGCCGGAGGCACAGCGGGAACTGCAGGATGGGGGGAGCTCACCTGGTCCTTGGTTTTTCCCTCCCTCTCCCGGATGTGTGTGGTGACAATTCGCTCCGTCTCCTCCCGTAACCTGGGGTAGGAACCGAGCTGAAAAGAGAGGGAGAAGGCCGGGGAAAAACCGCTGCAGATGGGCCCGTGGCAGCCCCAGCGCTCCGGAGGGATCCACGGAGAGGGGGATGGGGACAGGCAGGGACATGGGGACCAGCACTGGCTCTGCCAGGAGGACACAGCTTGGAGGGAGGAAAAGGGACAGACTCGATTCTCCCCACGAAATCTGACCGAATTCCCGGGAGCCTCAGAGGCAATGCCAAACAGGTGAATCCATGAGATTTGCCATCCCACTGTCCCAGGGGAGCGAGTGTCACAGGGATTCCCAAAATCCTGAGCCACCCGGGATGCTGCCAGCACTGGGATGGAGCATCCAATCTGCTCCTCTCAAGGGAGGATCCCACGACAGGAAACGGCAGGCAAAGCCTGGAAATGCCCAACTGGCTCCCAGATTTTACCAACACATGGATTTTTGGGAGCAGGCGAGGCACAGGTCACAATGGGACTCCAGATTCCCTTCTGCTGGCAGGGAACGGGCTGGAATGTCCCTTACTGGTACAGCAAATCACTTACTGGTCGTACTGGTGCAGCCAGTCCCTTACTGGTGTTACTGGTGTGACTGGTGCGAGCAGTCCCTTACTGGTGCACAGTGTTGTTACTGGTGTTACTGGTACGATTCTGCTGTGAGCAGAACCTTACTGGTGTACAGGCACACAGTGTTGTTACCGGTGCTAGTGGTACGATACTGGTGTTATTGGTGCGATACTGGTGTGAGCAGTCCCTTACTGGTGCACTGGCACACAGTGTTGTTACTGGTGTTACTGGTGCGATACTGATATTACTGGTGCAATACTGGTGTGATACTGATGCGATACTGGTGCACTGGCACACAGTGCTGTTACTGGTGTTACTGGTGCGATACTGATGTTACTGGTGCGATACTGGTGTACTGGCACACAGTGTTGTTACTGGTGCGATACTGATGTTACTGGTGTGATACTCACGTGATATTGGTGCACTGGCACAGTGTTGTTACTGGTGTTACTGGTGCGATATTGGTGCAAGCAGTACCTTACTGGTACACTGGCGCACAGTGTTGTTACTGGTGTTACTGGTGCGATACTGGTGTGATATTGGTGCATTGGCACAATGTTGTTACTGGTGCAATACTGGTGCAAGCAGTACCTTACTGGTGCACTGGCGCACGGTGTTGATGAGCTCCTGAATCACAAGGTCCACACACTTCAGACAAGGTTCCTTCAGCTTCACCACCTGCTTCTTGACGATGGCCTCGAACGCCAGGTCTGGTGTGAACAGCCCCGTTCTGGGAGCCGCCGGGAAAACAGGACATCAGCTGGGAGCGACCCCGGATACCTCTGGAGAGCCATTCCCTCCTTCCTGCTCCAGATACTTGCCTCACCCCATGGATGTTCTTGATGGCGTAGCTGATCTCTCGCCTCAAATCCTTCTCGTCAAATTCCATCTGCGAGGGAGAAGGGGAGGAGTCACTCCTGGAGCACAAACGATCCACCCAGGACTGCCCAGCCCAGAGCCTGTCTGGCCACCTTGGACTCCTGGGGACGCTGCTGGCTCATTTTTCCAGCCCCTGCCATGCAATCTTTCTCCCCAACTTCCTTGTTCCATGCCCAGAGCTGAAGCAGATGGGCCACACCTCTTCCGAGCCTAGCAGCGGCTCCAGGATAATATTCCCTCCCTCTGGAAATACCTCTGGGAAGGGGGACACACCAGGGGGCTCTGAGGGAGAGCGAGCTCAGCCCATCCAACCCAAATCCATGGGAGCACTGTCACCCTCTGTGCCAACCTCACCTTCACGAGCTCAAAAGGGAATCTCTCATGGAAAATCCTGTTAATCCTGGCCCCCCCAGAGAGCTCCAGTGTGTCCACCTGGTCTCCTGAACCTTCGATTCGCTTCTCGAAGTCCACACCGAACTGCTGGACCATCCTGGGGAGAAAACAGGGATTGAGTGGGCCCAAAAGTCCCACTTTTTCTGGGGTCTGGGAGGACATGGGCAGGTTAGGGATGGGCACAGATAACTGTTCCCAAGACTGGGAACGCAGCCTGGAGCCAGAGGAACCTACTGCAGCAAAGCTTTGGTTTTCCTTGTGGGATCATCAGGGCGGAAGTTCTTGTACTCCTCCACCTCCTTTTCCAGGGAAAGCAGCTGGCTCTGGAGCTTGCTCCGCAGCGAGGGCAGTGTCTCCCGGATGTGGTTGGTCAGTTGCTGCGAAGGCACAGAAAGAAGTGAGCTGGGAGGCCGGAACATCACTTTTCCAGGTGGGATGAACATCAAGAAGGGCCCTGCCCACCTGGTTGAGGACTTTCTGGAGGTGAGGGGTGCCCATGCGGTCAGCCATGTGCCGATACGCCGGGTGTGACAGGAAGAACTTCCGCTCGGCCGCCAGCGCGGCTCGGATGTCCTTCTTCCCATCGATGTCCTTCTGGCTGCGGTTTACCACCCCGATGTACCCTGCAGGGGCATGACATGGGGCTCAGGGCGGGGACAGATCCTGAAGTGCAGCAGTGGGGAGAGCCAGGGTTCCCAGCTAGCTCGGAATGGCTACACTGTCCCCATCAGAGGATACGGAGGAGGTGGTGGGGACACAGGACATGGAGAGGACACAGAGGGACACACGAGAACATGGAGAGGCACGGGAGGACACGGAGTGACTCGAGGATGCATGCCTTGCTGTACCTCTCCGCAAGGGCAGCAGCTTATTCTCCAGCACATCCCGCGCGTCAGTGCCTTCATCCATCAGGTCCAGCTTGGTGATGACTCCGATCGTCCGCAGGCCTGCGGCAGCCCAACAGGCAATCAATTAACCCCAATTAATCACGACCAAAACAAGTGGCAAGGAGGGCACAACCCAAGAGGGACCCATGGCCTGGAGTGGAATTCCCGGCCCTGCTGTGACTGCCAGGGACAGAGAGGAGGGTGAGGAAGAGGATGTGGGAAGAGAAGCTCCACTGGCATCAAAATCAGGCACTGCTACAGGATGGAGAGGAGAACTAGAAGGTGGAAAAGGAGGATGAGTCGGGAAGAGAAGCTCCTCTGGCACCAAATCCAGGCACCAGACTGTGCCATGATGGCCACTGACACTTCACCCCTCTGAACCCAGCACAATCCAGGCACGGAGAAATTCCACATCCCCCTTACCCTGAGGATCAACTTCCTTGGCCATCTTGAGCGCGTCGGAGTTGGCCAGGTCCATGTTGGCCGGCGTGACAGCCAGGATGAGGCTGCTCTCCCGACTGATGAACTGCAGGATCATGTCCTTGATCTGGAACTCGATGTCCTGCGGCTGATCCCCCACCGGCACCTTGGTGATCCCCGGGAGATCGATCAGCGTCAGGTTCAGCACTGGGAGGACACAGATCAGGGTGAAGGGCCCAGCAGACGGATCCCTGCAGATCTGCCGATGGATCCACACAGTAACAGCCCCTCTGAAGGGAGGTTCCTGATGGATTCACCCCAGGGGGGCCCCCAGCAACCCCCAGGCCAACGTAAGACCCACTGGACACACGGAGCAACCACTGTGGCCTTTAGGATGCATCTGCACATCCTCAATTTTCCTCTTTCCTGGAGACTTCCCACCCGGAGGCATCCCAGGGCAGAGGATTCCCTCACCGTGCGGGGAGTAGACGCGGAGGTTGATGGGGATGGGGGAGATGCCCTTGTTGGTGCCTGTGACACGGTCAGTTTCCGCTTCGATCTCCTGCCGCACCTCGTCGAAGTCCGTGAACTTCTTGGATTTGCAGTGCAAGAACTCGGCATATTCTGGAAGGGATCAGGAAATGGATGTTAGCAGCAAAGAATATTTGGCACTTTCGGCACAGGACAGGGAAGCCAGGAGGTGACAGAGAGATCTGCACTGGTGTCTAGGGAACATGGAGAAGGATCTGGAGGACACGGAGAAGGGTCTGGAGAACTTGTGGGAGCAGCTAAGGAGAGTTGCGGGGGCTGAGCTTGAAAAACGGAAGCTCTGGGGAACCTTCTGGCTCCTGACAAAACCCTGGAAGGAGGGTGGAGCCAGGAGGGGGTTGGTCCCTTCACCCAGGTGACAGCGTGAGAGGCCTCAAGTTGCACCAAGGAAGGTTTAGGTTGGATTTGGGCAAAACTTCCTCCCTGTAAAGGGTTTTCCAGCCCTGGCACAAGCTGCCCAAGGCAGGGGGGAGTCACTGTCCCTGGAAGTGCCCAAAACCTGTGGATGTGTCCCTCAGGGACACAGGTGAGTGGTGGCCTTGCCAGTGCCAGGAGAAAGGGCTCCAAGGCTTTTCCAACCCAAACCATTCCATGATTCCCTGACACCAGGCAGCCCATGCATGGCAGAAGCTTTGTGTCCCTGCAGACACTGGGATCCTCAGCCACCCTGGCAAAAAATATTTCAACAGCTCTGGGGCCATGACTCGCTGTGGTCAGGATGGTGCAATCACTTCCTTCCTCCTTCCCTCACGGGGAAACCCTGGCCCTGCCTCGCCCTTCCACCCCTCTTCCAGGCCTGGAACACCCTACCCAGGAAACCTTATCATCCAGGTGTCCTTATCTCTCATCCTGCACATCTTATCACTCATCCCGGATACCTCACCGACCAACTGCCGCCACTGACATTTCCCAATCCCCCGTTTCCCAATCCCCCTCAGCTCCTGGGCCCCAGAAACCACTGGCAACTCCATGAACAGCTCGCTGGGACAAAGGTCAATGGAACTCCATGTTTCCCACCCCCATACCTGTCTTGGAGAAGATGAGCTGCAGGATGAGAGGCCGACGCGTGACGATTCCAGAGCCACGGGGAAGGAAATCCCTGGAAGGGGTGAAAAGATGTTTAGTCATGTGTTCAACAAATTACTTCATCCAGTTGATCTCCAGGATATCCTGGACAGCACTGGGAAGGGACTGGAGGGCACTGGAAGGGTGGAAGGGGCTCAGACACATGCAAGATCCTCCTGCAGGGGGATAAAGGATGTTCCTGGGAACACAGACCCAGGATCAGTTCCTGCCTTCCTGCAGGATATTCCCTGTGGCAAGATGGGAATTTGCTCTCCCCAATCCCAAGGCCAGCCCCCACCATCCTTCCCCGTGGCACAGGGCAGCTCAGAGCTGGAGCTGCGGAAAAGCCAAGGAATCCTGGAGAGAACAGGAGAAGAGGGAAGCTCCTCCATCCTCACCCCAGTGACTGCTCTCAGGGAATTGGGAAAGAAGGAATTACATCAAATCCCAGAAATTTAAGTGCCTGAAGGGTTTGAACACCCTGATAATACAGAGGGAAAAACCGCGATGCCTTGGCAGAGGGACGAACCCATCACTGCCTCTTTATTCCCTAAAATTCCAGTCTCACACAACAGCATTCCTCCTGGCACTGGTGCCCAGAGTCCTCAGGTGGGTGTTTCTCCCTGGAAAAGGCACTGCTCCAATGGGAAGTCTGGATCAGGGCTGTCACCACCCTTTTCCCAAGCCGAGGGTGACGGGAATGGGACAGGGAAGCTCATGCCTGCTGGGAAATAGGAACCTCCCCGGGAGCTGCTGGGGCAGCTCCAAGTGGATTCAGGATTCCACTGAAGGAACAGGTAGGTGGATTATCAGCTGAGGACGGAGGTGGCACCACATGTGGCAGAGCTGTCACCAGCACCACACCCAGGGAGAGGCTCTGCCAGGAATTGCCCAGCCTGGACGTCAGCAGCCTCAGGAATGACAGCAGCAAGATCCTGACAGCATCACCCTGCCAGAGGTTTCCCAGCAAATCCTGATCCCTGCTCCAAGCAGTCCCCTGAATGTGGGTTATCACCCTGGAAAAACACTTCCTGCCCAACCGGGAGGACAAGTCCTGCGGCTTGGGAGGGAAGGAGGCATGTCCGAGGGCTGGAGGAGCCACGGGATGGGCCCTGGGCAGCTGCTGGGTGGAAAATGGGGAAAATGGGAGGAAAACAGGGGAAATGAGGGGAAATGGTGTTCCCTCCGGAGTCTGTTCCCTTGGGAAGGAAGGAGGTTAACAATCCAGGGGGAAACCCAGAGTGGCTGCTAGCTCTGGGGATGTCCCCAGCGCTGGCTCTGCTGAGGTCACACCTCACCTCCGGGTGATGACATCCCATCCGGATCCTCCTCCCACCTGGCTCCCAGGTGAGCTGTGAGCATGCAGGGCCGGAAGGGCAAAGGGACAAAAGTCACTGGGTGGAGGAGGCACATCCCATTCCAGAAAAACACCAGGGGAAATACAGCCTCGGCCCTGCCTGATCCTGCCTGGCCTTGCCTGGCCCTGCTTGGCCCTGTCACACCCCTGTCTGTCCCTGCCCGATTCCCGTCTGTCCCTGCTTTGCCCTGTCGCATTCCTGTCTGCCCATGCCTGATCCTGCTTGTCCCCTGACTGATCCCTACCTGTTCCTGCTTGCCCCCTGCCTGATCCCTACCTGTTCCTGCCTGTCCAGGTCTCATCCCTGTCTGTCTCTGCTTGCCCCCTGACTGATCCCTACCTGTTCCTGCTTGCCCCCTGCCCGATCCATACCTGTTCCTGCTTGTCCAGGTCTCATCCCTGTCTGTCCATGGCTGATTCCTGTCTGTCCCTACCTGTTCCTGCCTGACCCTGCTCGTCCCTTATTCCAAAGCCTCTGCCATCTCCACCCTTCCATGAGATTCAGCTCTCTCTCTGGCAGTGCTCGCACCTGCTCCAAATCTCAGTGAGCCACATTGGGCCAGGGGCAATGCTTCTAAATCCTAGGGTTCATCACCACCTTGGGCTCTCCAAGGCATTCCAGGGAGCCTATCCAGCATCCCAGTGAGAGCAGGGGACACTCCAACACGGGACAGTCCCAGCGCTCTGGGTGACCTCGGCCGTATCCTCGGCACGGCCATCCCGAGGGCTCATAATGCCCCATTGAGGTCAGGATCCGCCGGGATCGTCCTCAGCCACAACGGCTCCATTGTCCCGAGGGCCGGAGACAGCTCCGGGAAAGGCTCGGCCGGTGGGATTTGTCGGAGCAGGGCTGGGACAAGGGCTCCAAAGAGCGGCTGCTCCATGTGGGGCTCCTCGGGCCCACAGCTAATCCCACTAATGATCCCGTTTCCCTGCTGGATTTTATTCCCTTTGCACTCTTACCACTAAACTGGAGGGTGGAGGCACTCCAGGTCCCTCACTGCCAATTCCAACATCCCAACGGATCAGCCCTTCCCCAGGGAGAAATTCCAGCCCCGCTGGGCTAACTCGTGGATTTAGAGGGTTCCCAGCCCAATTCCAGATCCATCCACAGGGATTTTGGGCTCCGAAGGCCCTTTGGGACCCTCCTCCCACATGTTTTGGCCCTGGAGCAGGATGTGCGTTTTGAGGCTGGAATGGGGTCACGGCATGGATCCAGGATCCCAACGTGGATCTAAGCTTCCCAAAGAGCCAAGATTAAAGCTCCAACAGCTGCAGCACTGGGGCAGACGAGCAAAGCCAACCCCAGCTCAGGGTCGATCCCAGCTCGATGCATCCACACGGCTTATTGGGACAGGCAGAACAACCCTGAGGCCTTGGCTCGTCCCAAGCCATTGGAATCCACAACACATCCTGGAACAGCACTTGATGCTGCTGGTGTGGGACAAACCCCGACGGACCCTGAGCCATTCCGGGGGAAAATTCCCCTCAGAGCTGGATAACAACAATCACCATTCAATTCCATAGGATTCCAGTGGGATCCGAGGGAAAACGCTGCCATGAGGACTCAGGTGTCATTAACCCCTAATTAGAACAAGCTGCACAGCGAGGTGGGAACAGGATTCCTGGATGGATACAACTGGGCGGATCCGGGCTCCGACCCCTTGACACAAAGGTTTTAATTACCAGGGATGGTTTTCCAGCAGTGCCGTAATTAGAGGCTGCCACAATTCCCACCCGCAGGAATTCAGGAGGGGAATAGCTCCACCATTCCCACATGGATTGCATCTGACTCCTCTCCCTCCCACTGGGCTGGAAAAACCCAGACCCACGCTGTGAATCCATCCTGCACCAGGATGGAAGGGAGGGAAAGTACAGCAGGTGACGGATCCCATTGTGGACTTGGGATCCACTTGGAAAAATACTGCAGGAGTGGGAAAACTCCAGGGGAGCTTCCAACGGGGCTTTTCCACGGAGAAAGGGATGTTAAAACTAGCCTGAAATGCCAGAAAACCCATGTGGTTGGGTTTCTGGGAATGCCAAGTAGAGAGACCGGA